GGGTTTGGCAGAACACCGGCCCTCTCTCCGCGCATACATTGTACATTGTATGTGTGCGTGCTCGAGTTGAGTTTGAACAGAGCCTGTGCATTGTCGGTTTGTTCACGCTGCAGTCTTGACTGCAAGGTTGCTTTGCGTTTTCCCACCCACCCACCCTGGTTGCTGAGCAGCTGGGTATATAGTGGGGCTTAGATGGTGGGCCGGTTGGTTCTTGACTGTTGCCCGGCATTTCCTGTACAAGGTCGGCGCGCCCCCCCCCTGGTGTTGTGCATACGGGGTTCTTGAGAGTAGGTTTGGTGTAGAGGTCGCGCAACTCAAAGAATCAGCCAGGGTGCGGGGGATAGTTGCGAAGGAAAGAAGAATTGCTCGTTGGTGTGTGCTGGTCCTGCTGGGCGTCAGGTCGCCGCAATGTCCATGCGCATGGTTCATGCTTTGTTTCGCTTGTTGCTGGCGCTGCTCTTGTCTACCTGTGGAGCTGGGGCTGCCGAGCCAGAGATGGACTATGCCTTGCTGCGTGCCAATGTTGTGCAGGCGTACGCGCAGCAAGCTGCTGAGATGGCAGAGACGCTCAGTGTTCTGCAAAGCCTGAGTGCTGACACAGCTGCGACGCTGTCTCGCTTGGAGAGCGCTTGCGTCGAGTGACTGCGCTGCATGTGCCACTGCAGGGGCGCTTGCAAGTTGAGCCTTCAAAGTGTGCAACGCGCGGTGAGGCGTTGACTGCACGTGCAGCGGCCCAAGCGGTCGTGGCTGGAGTGTGATTGACAGCTGTGGTGCTTGCCTCTTGCATTGCCGTGGGCGCGAGGAAGCGTAATAATATGAGTCTACATGCGCTACAAAACACCCCTTGGCTGCACGAAGCGAGCGCCTGACGCGCGTGGTGCGCGTTAGAGCATGACGTGTGGTCCGTGAGTGTTGAGCGTCCTTGTGTTGTGGTTCGGCTGACATGTTCGTGCTAGACTTCTGCGCTTGACTTGGTCACAGCTTTGGAAGCAGTTCTTGCTAGTGCGTGGCACGAGTGTCGTTAGCCGGAAAGGGGGTTACCGCAATTTCTTGCAGGGCCCCTGCAGTTGCTTTGTTCCCACCCTCCCTTCAGCTGGATGTTGAACGTGGCGTGAGCGTGACAGGACCCCGTCACGTTGCGCTGTTACTAAACGTGACTGCGGCTCTCTCTATCTCGCGCGCGTGTTTTCTTTGTATAGGTTGTGTGCACAGCTGTCGAGCAGTCGGATCTTGGTTTGCGACTCGTGCTGGGCTGCTATTCGACAGCTTGTGCAGCCAGTTGTCTTGTTTTCCCACCCGCCCGCCCTATGGTGGATTGGGACTGCTGTCCCTGAAGCCTATGGGATGTTCGCGAACACTTGCAGCACACTCGAACGCCACGCGCGTGTGACTTGTGTGTATGGGTCACTCACGCCTACTCGCGTGTAACACGATCACTAGCATTGTGGAGCACAATTTCCTTGTCCAGCATGCGTTGGTACTCAGCCTTGACGCCGTCAGGTTCTGTTGTATCCAGGCATCGTCAGCTGGATAGAAAAGAAGAGTCTGCCCTTCAGTGTGACTTTGTGTGTGATCCGTTCAGTGCCTCCGCATCTGCTAGTGATGGCATGCTTGCAATTCTTTGCACGCACCAAAGCCACACAGCATGATTGGTGATATTTGGTGATTGCGTGGTTGGCCTTACAGCTTGGTATTGAGTCACATTGGTGCAATCGAGTCAGTGCACCTTTGCTTGTTCTTCAGTTGCCCGCCCGCCCTCCCCTTTCTTTGGGCGCCCATGGTGCACTTATACCGAGGGATGAGCTTGTGCGGATGAGCTTGTGCAGCTTGGACTTGCGCAGTCCAGCTGCTTCATGTGTGTGCCTGCGATGAAAACAAATCAATGCGCGTGTGGACTTCGATACAAGCTGTGGGCAGCTTTGTTCGCCCGCCCGCCCTCCCGTTTTTCTGATGCGCCCATGTGTATGCCGTTGATAAAATCAATAGCTCTTTATAGGTTTCGGGCAGGGATTGTGTGACCGGTCGTGAGTCAGCGCTGATACCATCTTTCCAGATGAGCCGTTGTTGAATTCTTCCTCGTCCCGCCGTAATATACAGGTTCGAGGTGGGTGGGAGGGAGCACGTCCCATAGCATTGCTTGCAGCTGCTGCAAGCTTTGTAGTTTTTGTGCCGCAATGGGTCGTGGTACGAAGCGGCTGAGCGCAGCTGCTACAGTTGACGAGCCTCCTAGTGCTGCTCTGCGTCTTCATGTCCTTCATTGTTGGCGTGCTGGGGCTGGCAGCGCAGGCCGACAGATGTGGGATGAGACTATCATCTCAAAGATGCGTCAGTTGGACAAGGGGATGCACGTGCCTCAACACCGTGGTTTCTTGGCGCCAGTGCCATATTTTGACAGTGGTGAAGATGTTTCGCTGCCTGCTCCCCTTGCGTCGGCCAGCGCTTTCAGTTTGGCTGGTTTGCGCTTGGCTGGTCCTTCTGCGTCTGCAGATTGGACGTCGAAGATGCAACGGGAACGTCGTGCTGCTATCAAGAAATGGGCCAGCTTGGTGAAGATGCACCCGGCTGCTTGGGAGGTTGGCAGACAGCAGGTGTCTGTTTTGCAGCTACGTGTCAAGAGCGGGGGGTTGTTTGAATCCATTTCGGATGCGCTGGCTAGCAAAGCCACTGCAACTCTTCATGGTCGGGCGGGGCCACTTCTGCGTTACAGCAATTTCTGGATTGGTCAGGGTCACGAGCCCTGGCCACTGCAGGAGGAAATGGTGTATGCCTACTTCAAAGAAGTAGGCCCCTCTACTGCTCCGACGCATCTGCGATCGTGCCTGATCTCCATGTCCTTCGCGATGCATGTGCTGGGTTTATACGGCGTAAAGTCTGTTCTGGAATCAGAATTGCCTGGTCGCCTGCAGTGCACGTTGTTGACTTTGCGTGTTTCTTGTTAGTGTCGCATGTGTGCCTTCGCCAGGACATGCCATGACACTCGCTTGTTCGTAAGTATCAGTGTGTGCCATGCTGCGAACGACCCCGAAACCTAGAAGTATGCCGTTGATAAAATCAATAGCTCTTTATAGGTTTCGGGCAGGGATTGTGTGACCGGTCGTGAGTCAGCGCTGATACCATCTTTCCAGATGAGCCGTTGTTGAATTCTTCCTCGTCCCGCCGTAATATACAGGTTCGAGGTGGGTGGGAGGGAGCACGTCCCATAGCATTGCTTGCAGCTGCTGCAAGCTTTGTAGTTTTTGTCCCGCCCGCCCGCCCTGGGTGAGGAATCTTTAATGCCGGGAGCCATTGGTCCTATGGGACAAGTCCTATGGGATATGTCAGACATGTTGTCTGCTCCTTCGGCAGCCTGCTTGAGATTCAACCCCTGAGACGGATACGTCCGCGTGAAAAAGAATTGCCTGGTCGCCTGCAGTGCACGTTGTTGACTTTGCGTGTTTCTTGTTAGTGTCGCATGTGTGCCTTCGCCAGGACATGCCATGACGCTCGCTTGTTCGTAAGTATCAGTGTGTGCCATGCTGCGAACGACCCCGAAACCTATAATGCGCCAGACGATGGATGTGTGACGGGATGTGACATGCTGCTTGGGCCTGCTGGGCCCCTGCAGTGCGAGCTGTGTGCCTGCGCTGAAAAAGTCACTGCGCGTGGGGACTTGGGACTTGTGTGCATTTGGATGCACATTGTCCCAGCGCTTGAAAAATAGGCAGCCCGTCTCATTTGCGTGCGGAGATTGTAGAGGCGTGCGCAGTGTCGAGTCGAACGAGCTTTTTGGTTTTCGGGTTGCGCGTGTGGGTGTGTGTGTGTGTGTGGGTGTGGGTGTGTGTGTGTGTGTGTGTGTGTGTGTGTGTGTGTGTGTGTGTGTGTGTGTGTGTGTGTGTGTGTGTGTGTGTGTGTGTGTGTGTGTGTGTGTGTGTGTGTGTGTGTGTGTGTGTGTGTGTGTGTGTGTGTGTGTGTGTGTGTGTGTGTGTGTGTTGTGTGTGTGTGTGTGTGTGTGTGTGTGTGTGTGTGTGTGTGTGTGTGTGTGTGTGTGTGTGTGTGTGTGTGTGTGTGTGTGTGTGTGTGTGTGTGTGTGTTTGTGTGTGTGTGTGTGTGTGTGTGTGTGTGTGTGTGTGTGTGTGTGTGTGTGTGTGTGTGTGTGTGTGTGTGTGTGTGTGTGTGTGTGTGTGTGTGTGTGTGTGTGTGTGTGGTGTGTGTGTGTGTGTGTGTGTGTGTGTGTGTGTGGTGTGTGTGTGTGTGTGTGGTGTGTGTGTGTGTGTGTGTGTGTGTGTGTGGTGTGTGTGTGTGTTGTGTGTGTGTGTGTGTGTGTGTGTGTGTGTGTGTGTGTGTGTGTGTGTGTGTGTGTGTGTGTGTGTGTGTGGTGTGTGTGTGGTGTGTGTGTGGTTGTGTGGTGGTTGCGTGTGCGTGTGCGTGTGCGTGTGCGTGGGTGCTGTGTGTGGTGGTGTGGGTGTGTGTGGTGTGTGTGTGTGTGGGTGTGTGTGGGTGTGTGTTGTGTGTGTGGTGTTTGTGTGTGTGTGTGTGTGTGTCTGTGTGTGTGTGTGTGGGTGTGTGGGTGTGTGGGTGTGTGTGTGTGTGGGTGTGTGTCTGTGTGTGGGTGTGTGTGTGTGTGGGTGGGTGTGTGTGCGGGTGGGTGTGTGTGGCTGTGTGTGACTGTGACTGTGTGAGTGTGTGAGTGTGAGAGTGCATGAGTGGGGTTGCTTGCGCTAGCCGCCCGAAACCCCCTAGCGCATGCTCCGAACACTCGGCCACCCGTGCGCGTGTTACACACTTGAGCATGTTGCGTTGCGCACTTGAGTGTTCAGCTGTCGAGCTTTCAATCTGTTTGCCTGTGTGCTGCTGAAGTCGGCTTCAAGCAGCAGCCGACGAATTGTCCCACCCTCCCGCCCTAGAGAAAGGGCTCACGGCCCCACGTGGCTGAGTTAGGTTTCCCGTGACGGGCAGTGTTGTGTGTGGAGGGCCTTTGCCATGGGGCAAGGCTCTCCCACACTGTTGTGCGATCGGTCCAAAACAGATGCGCGCGTCTAGGGTTGTGTGTGTGTGTTAGTGAGTGAGTAGTTAGCCTGGTTGCTTGTGTGCTTTAATTAGTCCGCTGTCATTATGATGCGAGGTTGTTGTGTCTTGGTGCTTGTGCTGCAAGCTGCTGCCCAGCAGTTTGCGCCGTTCGACGCAGCTACAGCTTCCAGCGTCTATTCCTCGAAGACGTTCGGTGCAGGCCTGGCGACGAGCGAGTCCTCCGGATATTGGTGCAGCGCTGGGGACCATGAACCTGGGCAGAGCGTGTCTTGGACTGGCGTGTTCAAGGCGCGGAGGCAGCTCCTTGGTGTGACGTTGCGATGGAGCTACGCTCCCGGTGAAGTCAAAGTGCTCACCAGCTCGGACGGTGGTAACTTCGAGGAGAGCGTCGGTTGGCGGAAGCTTTCGAGGCCAGAGCCCAGCTTCGAGGACACAATCTTGTTCCCCGAGCCAGTGGCTGCAAAGGCTGTGAAAGTTTTGATGCGTGGCGCCAAGCCTTGGGGGTATTTTGGCTTGTCCAATGCAGTGGCGATCGCAAGGCCGTCTGCCTTCATGCTGGTCAGCGGTGTCCCAGCAGCTCAGGAGCAATGTGTGGTCGCGTCAAGCAGCGGTGTGGCAGCAAAGTCTTGCATAGA